CCCCAAAACCCCAAAACCCCAAAACCCCAAAACCCCTTGGATTTTAAGTTCACTTGAGAAATTAGATATAAATAAAATGTCTTCAGAGCCTGAAACTAATTCTGTAACTATCCTTGACAATGGGACAGATACAATCAAAATTGGTCCAGCTGAAGAAGAACTACCTGTCTGAGTAATTCCGAATAAAATAATGTATCCAAATCCTAATGTTTGGTCAGTGCCAGCAGGGAGAAAAGAATACTATGCTGGTGATCTAGCCTCTTGTGATAGAGGATATTCCAAAATTTCATACCCTATTTGAAATGGTGAAGTCATCGACTGGGACCAAATGGAGCATGTCTGGACTTATGCTATTTACAATGAACTCCGCCAAGACCCCACTGAGCGCCCAGTGCTACTGAGTGAGCCTTCACTCAACAGCATGGCTGCTCGTGAGAAAGCCTCCCAGATCATGTTTGAGTCGCTTGGTGTTCCTAGCCTAGCTCTGAAGTCACAGTCGGTGCTAGGTCTGTACTCATCGGGACGGACAACAGGATGAGTGGTAGATTCAGGAGAAGACCTTACTTGGGCAATCGCAGTGTTTGAAGGGCACCAAGTTCCACATGCAGTTGATAAAATTCCTTTGGCTGGCAAAGCTCTGAGTGAATACTTTAGCACACTCTTAGCACAAGAACAAGATTTCCACATTACACATCATGTCAGAACTCAGTACCAAAAGGCTGTGCTCAGCCAGATCAAACATGAAGGGTGCTATGTGGCCCAAGATTATCAGGCTGAACTTGAAAAAGCAAGCCAAGGACAACAAATGCACACACAGTATTATCTCCCTGATGGAGGAGCCGTGCTAGAGTATACAGTCCCTCGGTTCAAGTGTCCCGAACTCATGTTCACACCAGCTCTTGGTGGCCGAGAACATCTGAGTCTGCAAGAACTCGTCTGCTCTGTTGTTCTTGGCTGAGACCTCGACCTGCGGAAACACTTGTTTGCGAATGTGGTGCTTTCTGGTGCCAATACGATGTTCACTGGCTTGATGGAGCGACTCTTCAACGAACTCAGACAGACAGCACCTAAGCACATGAAGATCAAGCTGGTGGGATCGAGAAACAGAAAGTTTGCAGCATGGACCGGAGGGAGTATTCTGACAAGACTATCATGATTTGAAGGAATGTGAATTACTAAGGAAGAATATAAAGAGAATGGGGAGACAATAATTCGGAGGAAATGATATTAGCCTGTTCTTTACTTTCTGATTTTTGATCTATATGTTTTCAATTTATCTCTCTATCTAGGGGTTTTGGGGTTTTGGGGTTTTGGGG